TGCCCCCCTGTGCCCGCCCTCAGTGCCCCGCTTCATCAAGTACACGGGCTACGGGAACGCCGCCGGCCTCCTGGCCGCCCGGGGCCTCATGGCAGGGGGCCGGCCCGAGGGCCAGTACTCGGAGGACGAGGACACCGACACGGACGAGTACAAGGCGGCCAGGGCCAGGTGTGTGCCCCGCTCCCTCGGGCGCCCGTCCCCCGCCCGGGCCACGGGGGGCAGGGTGAGGCGTGGGTAAGACCACTCAGAACCCGGCATGGGGGGGGGCAGGGTGACCCGTGGGTAAGACCACTCAGAACCCGGCATGGGGGGGGGCAGGGTGACCCGTGGGTAAGACCACTCAGAACCCGGCATGGGGGGGGGGCAGCGTGATCCGTGGGTAAGACCACTCAGAACCCGGCATGGGTCCTGATGTCCAATGTAGGGTGGCAACAGAGGGTAAAGGAGCCGGGCAGACTTGGGGACCAGGCGGCCCTGATGGCAGGAGCTGGGTGACTGCTGCTCCAGGAGAGGTCTCCCCACAGCCCCCGTCCTGAGACTCACTAATGCATTCCCCACGCCCCCTTCCCTGGGAAGCAGCATAAACCCAGTGACTGGGAGGGTGGAGGAGAAGCTACCCAACCCCATGGAGGGCATGACCGAGGAGCAGAAGGAGCACGAGGCCATGAAACTGGTGAACATGTTCGACAAGCTCTCCAGGTACGAGGTCGGGCAGGAGGGCCATGTCCTGTCTCAGGAAACCCGGCAGGCGGGGTCATAGGAGGATGTTTGGAATCACCTGCTGTGGAGGAAACCGCCCACCCCCAGGCTAGTTAGGGTTGAAGTCAGCATTATGTCCCCTTTACACAAGATGGGACCGAGGCCCAGGAAAATTAAGAGACTGCCTCAGGTGTCAGGGCCACTAGGTAGCAGTTAGGGTTCGGGCCTCGCTGACACTGAACAGGAGCAGCCTGGTGGGGGGAAGGTGGCAGCTGAAGCAGGACGCCCACCCACCCCTTCCCTGCAGGCACAGAGTCATCCAGCCCATGGGGGTGAGTCCCCGGGGCCAGCTCACCTCCCTGCAGGATGCCGTGTGCGAGAGCATGGAGGGCCAGCTCTCCTCAGACCCCGACTCAGACCCCGACTGAGGACGGCTACCCAGCTCCCCCGTCAGAACCGGTGCTGCTTCCAGCGGTGTCCTCGGGGCCCTTTTCTCTTCACTCCCAAAGTTGTGTTCCCGACTTTCTCATCTCTGGGATTGTGAGGGTCTTGTCCTGCTGTCACTCTGGAAACGCCCTGATTTCCTCAGGTGACAAGGTTTCTCTTGTGAGCCAGGAGGGTATGTGCAGAGGCTGCTCCTGAGGTGGGGCTGCACGTGGGCACAGGGAGCCCAGAGCCAGGAGGTCAGGCAAGTGCTGCATTTGAAAGGGGGAAAGAACCTGCTAGAACTTCACATGCTAATGTCAGAAACACTCGCAAGGGCTATGCTGTCTGTCCCCACCGAGCACATCCTTGGTCCTGGCTCAGCTGCCTGCTGTACTGTCCACAGTGCCCAAGTCCTCACTGGTTTCACAGTTGAATCTCCATCTTTCCCACTGGTGTAGCTCATAAATACGTAAGGAAAACGTTACCTCTTGTGAGACTTTAATTCTGTATTCCCATCGTGTCCCACAAAGCGTCCCGGAAACATCCTGCAGTACAGAGAGAGTGCGCGTGTGCATGTCCAATAAAGTTGCACAAGTGAACATTTTTCCCAGATCGCCACTTAAGTCTTTTCTTCTTGAGAGCTGAGGCCACCAGACCCCCTTCTGAGGAGTTTGTCAGTTACACCAGGGGTCTGCCAGGCAAGCACGATGCCAGGGAGGAGGGAGCACGAGGGGCAGTGACCAGGGGTGCCTTCATGTCAGAGGTTAATCCCAGTGGCGTTACTGGAAGACCTGGTGGGGAGAGTGCAGCAGGGTCTGGAACAGACTGGTTTCTGGAGGAGGCTAATGTAAGGCAGGCATCAGGGTGAACAGATCATGATGACCTTCAGTGAGGGGTGAGGTGGGGATGAATGTTCTCTGTCCTTGGGCCCCCAAGGTCCCCTTTCCACATTCATTGTCAGCACTTGCATTCCCTTTGTGGGGACAAAAATGAAGGGATGCCCAATTTCTACAGCAGAATTTATTTCATGTCAGTAGTGAAGGACAGGCTTTCTTCAAACTCAGGAGACCAACCTGCCAAGAGCCCAGCATACTTCTTGGGACCCAGGACCCCACACTGGGAGGTGACTGGGCCCACTCAGCCAGAGATGGGCCTTTCTGACAGATGCTGAGCCTGCCCTTCAAGTGGAGACCTGGACACAGGAAAAGTGGGTGCAGCCTGAGTCCAGGACCACAGTCAGAAGGAAGTGCTGGGAAGTGAGAGCTTCAGCAAAGTGAAGAGTTAACCAGACAGGCAGGCCAGGGGCACCCATGCCGAGGCACAGTGCAGACATGGCTGGGGACGGTGCCAGTAGAGCCCCGTGCTCTGCTCCAGTCCTGGGTCAGCCAAAATTTGTAAACCTGCCCAAGCTGTTCTTCAGAAACGAGGTCTGTTCAGAAATGGGTAATGACTCCATGGAACCATTTCTGGTACGGAAACAGCCCTCACCCTACCTGTCCCACCCACTGAACTGGAACACAAGGGAGAGAAAAAATTGGTTACCTGGAAACACCTGGGTAGGCAGACAGATGTCAGGGCCTGGGTGCAAACTATTACATAAGATGAAGCTTTTCTGTCTCTGCAAATACTGCTGTTCAGCCAAATTAAGATGATTCCAGTAGAGCTAGGCACAAATGGGTGGCTAAACGGAGGGCCTCATGTAAGCGGCAAATCAAGGTATACCCTGGCACCACATCTTGGACAGTAACCCTAAATAAACCCCTAAAGTCATAACCCAATTTATACAAATTGTAAAACTAGGAAATACCACAGGGCAAATCTTACAGGACTAGTTCCAAAAATCCACAGGGGCTCCCTGACTTAATCTTGCTGTTGGTGGAAGAAGTCGGAGCCCAGAAGAGGCTCTCAAGTAAGCTGCAGACTCAAAAGTGACGGCAATGTGACCTGGATGTGGGTGGCCTTTATCTCCTTCCACGTGATGAGAAACGGCACCAGCCTACATCTCAGCCCTGAGAACCAGACAACAAAAGGCCTGAAATAGCAATGGCTCAGACATGTGACAAGCAGAAACCTAAGTGCTGTCTCATCCTTAGCTTCGAATCCTCTCTGGTCCTACTTGGTAGGAAATGAGGCTACAGCCAGAGGGGGGCTTCTGCCAGTAGAGGTGACAGTCACAGGTGGAGGGTGGGGTCCCCAAGACATCTGTCTCGTGGCCACAGGAACCAGATCAGCACTTCTGGTCACACCCTGGGGGTGTTCTCCCTGCCTGCTTCGTGCTGTCCCAAGACAACTGGACTCCAGATGCCCAATGCCACCACCTGGAGAAACTCGCCCACAGGGTGACACTGCTGAGTCTCAAGGAAAACTGCATTTTCTGTAACTGCACTTGTCCGTGGGATTTGAAATCTAGAGCTTTAGCCTCTGTGGTGTTTCTACCCTCAGCAGTCAGGTCAGCGGCTCTCACAATTTCCTGAAAGCGTCGCCCGCGGGGCTGCATCCCACACAGGCACAGAAACCTCACTTCTCAGAGTACCTTCCCGGTCTCTCGCTGGACGAGGTCCTTCAGCTCCTCCGTCCAGCCCAGCAGCTCTGCCAGCATCTTCACGCCGTCCACCAGGTCCCCCAGCTGCAGCACATCCCTGCTGCGAGGACGCCAGGCCAAGGCCCCCGCCGCTTCCTGGTTCATGAACACTCGGGGCACTGAGCTCCGCACAGCCTCAGACAGGCTGGCAAAAGGCTCCACCTAAAAAATTGTCCAAAAGTGAGGAGCTCTATCCAGTCTCTGGCTCCCTCAGGAGACTGATCGTGCTACCTTGGAGAGGGAACCCCGCCTAACACATACACACCCACACACCCATCTCACTTTCTCCCCTGCTGCTCCCTCACCCATGTCAATGGAAGTGTCTCCCAGTTCCAGCTTTTTCAAGAGCTCAGTTCCAGCAATTACGCAATCTTACCCGTCCTCCCCACCACCAGGCCACACCTTCTCCCAGCACACCTGACACAAGACAGGTCTCCTCTGTCCTTGCTGCCCAAGGGAGAATCTGGTCCCGCACTGAGGTGTGTGAGATGTGGCATTTCCCTAATGATCAGTGATGCTCATCCCAAGCATCCACAGGCTGCATGGTGGCCCCTCTGCACCTTCCCCCTGCAGACCCCAGACAGGCCTGACTCATCCAAGAGTCACAGTGTGAAAAGTGCACAGATTAATAATGGTATTGAGACTGGATCACTCTCTGGGAGGAAGTTGCTTGACTCCTGCCTTTCATTGAAATAATTTCAAATGGATTAAAGATTTAAGTGTAAAAAAAACAGCTCTTAAAAATAAAAATCATACATAACTTAAAAAAAAAAGCTCTTAAAGAAAATTCTGGGTTTCTAAGTTACGTAGGAAAGGGCTTTTCTGGAAGGACAACTGAAGTCAGATAAGACAGAAACCGCATTTCACGTGTGATTCCACCATCATCCACCTAAGTCCAGGCAGGAAAATAAGTTCTTTTTATATATCTTTGCTGATTTCATAGAGAGGAAGGGAGAGGGAGAGGGAGAGAGAAAGATCAATGATGAGAGAGCCATTGATTGGCTGCCTCCTGCAGGCCCCCCACTGGGGGTCGAGCTCACAACCTGGGCCTGTGCCCTAACTGGGAATCGAACTGTGACTTCCTGGATCCTAGGTCAATGCTCAACCACTGAGCCACACAAGCCGGGCGGAAAAATAAATTCTTAACTCTCACCACCATAAACCAACTGCAAAAAAGTTACATGGGAAAAAATAGTTTATATTGCTAACTGATAAACTAATTCACAAACATTTTATATAATTTATTAATTTATATTTCTAACGAACAGTGAAAAACAGGCAAGAGGTACAAACGAGATCCACAGAGAATGCATGCCATAGTCAGTGAGCGAGAAAGGATGGACCTCATTGATCATTAGAGAAATGCAAATCTTTCTCCCACGTGCTTAGCCAGTCACACTGGTGGGAACATAGAGGTAGCGAGGGGGTGGAGAAATAGCCACCATGTGCTATTGGTGGCAGTGAAAATAATGTATCTCTCTGGAAAGCAGGTTCTTAACATTTATTTTCTACAGAATGTACAAAAATGTATACACGTGGATGTTCGCTACATTATTTCAATGCAAAAACTACATTTATTTATTTATTTTGCCCATCACTAGGAAATTGCTTAAATAAACTTCATAGGTCCATCATCTCTTATCTTGAAACTCCTGGGGCTGGATAGTGTTTCAGATCTGAGAAGACAACATGGTCCCTGTCCCACAGGTGGTCACGGCTCAGTGGTTGGGTGCTTCCCACTTTGGTGCGGCATCCTCTAGGCCATGTTGCATGCCACACTGCCGCTGGCTGTGCTCACTGACAAGCACTCTGTGTCAGGGCCCAGGCAGGACCTCCTATGAGTAACCATCAGGGACACTGTGGCCACTAACAAGGTGGAGCTCTGCACAGTGATGTCCACGCTGGTGAAAGGGCACAGGTCCATGTGTGTATCTATCTACACAGCAGAGAAGCCCGAGGACACGGAACACAAAGCTGCCAGTGATGGCAGTACAGAAGTGACTCTTTACTTTGCTCTATGTCTTTACAGAATGTATGAATTTTTAAAAAAATACATGGGCCCAGCCGGTGTGGCGCAGTGGTTGAGCATCGTCTACCTCTGATCCAGGAGATCTTGGTTTGATTTCTGGTCAGGGCATGCCCAGGTTGTGGGCTCAATCCCCAGTAGGGGGCATGCAGGAGGCAGCCAATCAATGACTCTCATCATTGATGTTTCTATTTCTTTCCCTTCCTCTCTCTGAAATCAGTAAAGACATATTTAAAACACACACAAGGTACTTTTAGATTCAGGGGAAAAAAGGCTATTTTCATTTCACTTAAAAAGTAAAGAGGGCTAGTAGCCCTGGTGTCCATACCTGGTAGCCAGCCAGGTCAGGCAGGCTTAGAACTAGACACCATAGCTCTGTCCTCTGCCTGTCTGGCCGTGGCCGTGCCCTCATCCAGGCCCAGCGTGGGCACCCTGGCTCCTACCTCTGCTCCTTCCTGGACTGGACTCAGAAGTCCACCTGCCAGCATGACACGTCCACTCAGCAGCCCAGCACACTCCTCAGATCAGCGTGATTTGTCCCCCAAATGCACTCACCAGGCTTCTCCATCTCAGGAAATCAGCTCTGTCCTAGCAGCTACTGTTTACAGCCCTGGAGCCCTACAGGAGTTCCACAGTCGCACCCTATCCCACCTGCACACACACCCAGCTCCATCACCCCAGGCCACTACCTGCTCCACTTGTCCCCATGGTCTGTTCAGGATACAGCATCCACAGGGCCAAGAAGTTGGACCATCACAGCTGATGCTTTCACTGCTGCATGTGGCCGAGGGCCACCAGGCAGTGTCTCCTCCAGCTCCCCAGTCCCAGCCCCTTCTAGACTCTCTATGCCACGTGCCATGCTTCCCGCAGCACAACTTGTTCATGACACTGTGTGTCCTGAGCATACGACAGGCAGACCCGCTGAGTCTATGCACTACCCTGGCCTTAGGGCAGGCAGGGCCCTGAGCGCAGGTCCTTCTGCTCTCCCCCCCCCACTCCC